ATCAAAATAATTAAATGTAAAATAGATTACTTGATATAAATTTTTACTAAGTATTTTATAAAAGCTATCAAGTCAACAAAAATCTGTTTTAAATAGCGTATTAAAAATATTAATTACAAAAATGAATGAATTTTTAATCCAAAAATATAAGATAAATTGTTAATTACCATAATTTATTTGTTATTAATGATCTTCAGAAAGCTATTTTTATCAAAACAAACATAAAATTTATAACTAAGTACATTTAAAAGTTAGAATAAATTTAATATATTGATACATAACTAAATGCTATTATGTGTTTTTTTATATTAACATATATTTTTTCACATTCAGTATGCAACATATAATTGACATTATAGCTTAAAGATCTAATTAAGAAAATAAAGATTAATAGTTTATTTATTATAAAACAATAAAAGATAAATAAGAATTTAAAACAGAAGCTAATAAATTTAATTTACTAAGTGGAATAAATAAAATATTTAATTTCAAAATAAATAGTCTCAAGTTAGCGTTAGGTATAGTTTCGTGCATTAAAATATTAAACTTTAATGAATAATGAATGAAGGGAGATGATATATTTTAATTAAGAAAAGAGTAAAGATATTTATTAAATATATAGGAATATAGTTAAAAATAAGAAAAAATATCACTTTAATTTGAGAGTATTTTTGAATAGACTATTTTCTTTAATATTTTTTGTTTTATTAAATTTTGATATTAAGAAGCAAATTCAAGCTTTCTACCTTTTTAATATTAATAAATTATTATGTTTAATTATATAATTCAATCAGAATATTTTTTTTGTTTTTAATGGCAACTCCTTAATTTTTAACATTCAATATTTAATAGTTTAAAATGTTTATTTAAAAATTTATTTTACCCAACTTTTAATTGAAATGAAATTTATGTTTGATTTAAATTTTAAAAATAATTATCTTGATATTTTTATTAGAATAAGAATAATTATTTTAATTTTATTTAAAATTTGAAATATTAAACAATTCTTATTCAATCAAGCTCAAAATATTTTCATTTTTTATTTTTTATATTTTTAATAATTAATTTTGTGTATATTTACAATTTTTAAAATCTAAATTTAATAATTAATTCTAATTATTACTATTTATAATTCTATTATTTCATTATAAATAAATATCTAGTTGATAACAAATTGCTATAAATAAAAGAGTTTTTATTTAATTTGAGACTCTAAATAAATACTTAGATTTATTTCTAATAAATAATTTATATATTTAAATTTTTTATCCAAAATTTTAGTTTAATTTAATGCTGAGTATTGAAATATTTTATTTTGAAATATTTAAAATATGGAATAAAAAATAGTTTCTTTTAGTTTGCCTAGAAGAAATTTATTTCTTATTTTCTTTTAGCAAGCAAAATATATTTAATTATATTTATTATGTAGTAAAAAATTTGTTCTAATTAATTGAAGGAAATTTAGAATTATACTTCAATTTAATAAAAAGAATTGTTTTGATAATCTATTCAATTAGCGAGAAAAGAGATAATTAGATAAAAGAGTTTTATCTCAAATAAATAAAAGACTTTTATTTTTGAGATATTTAATATTAATTTATTATAATTAAATAGCATCTACAACAACAATTGTTTATTATAAGACTTTTTACGCGACTCCTGATCATAAATATGATTATGAGAATAAAGCTACTAATGTTATAATAAAGATATATTCTTTTTTTGATTATAATTCATTTCATTATCAAATTAATTACCGCCAAATCAAAAAAATTATGGAAAATATTATATGATTTTTGCTTTGTTTTCTTTAAATATTAGAAAATCAAGTGTTTTTCTCTCTTTTTTAATATAAAGAATTATAAAGTCTAGTTCATCAATAGAGATAATAAAAGTGGAAATAATACTTGATTGAATAAATAATTAATTAATAAAAAATTCTAACAAAAAAGAAGCAAAAAAACATACTTACAAAAAAAAGAAAAATTAAGAATGAATAAAGAAGCTTATAAATAATAACCAATATCTGAAAAACTGGCTTTTAAAAATATACATTTTGATGATGATAAAGAATTAGCTAATTTCTACATTTCTATATTTTAAAAATGCGTTGAGAATATTTCTAATTAATAATTGTCTTTTTTAGAGGAATTTCCTTAATTAAACCAAATATAAGTCGATCGTTGCTATGTTATGAAACTCTAATCAAATGATCTAATAAGAATAGCTAGAAAAGTATAGTTTCTATCTGTTGGTAAAAAATATTTTAATGCAGGCAACTTTAAATACGTTGTTGGTAATTTAACATTCTAACAAAAGAACCTATAATGTAGAATAGTTAAAGTTAATGATTAAAGAAATTTAAGTGATGATTATGAAAATCTTAGGGATTTTAAATTTGTTCATTTCTACCAAATAGATGACAAAAAAAACCCAAAATAAAGCATCAAAAGTACAATTAAATACTATTATAACAAATCCTAATAGTAAGAATCTGAAGAAGTATAAGATCGACCTACTTCGCAAAAATCTAGTATCAATAAAAGTTAAGTACAAGAATTGCATGAATCTGTAATTTAAGAAAAAAAATTAGAAAATTAAATTAATACGAATCTGAAGAAAGAAAACAGCTCTAATTTAATAGATGAAGATTCTGAGAGCGAAGATAGTAATGAAGCAGCAATTACAAATAATTAGAATTAAATTACAATAAATAATAAAAATGCAAATGATATTTAAAGTAATTATCAGCTTTAGTAGTAACATGGTTTGACAAATCCAAATCAAAAAGAAGATTAGTCAGCAATAATACAAAATCTTCTTTATTTGATCAAGCAAAAAGATATGTAGCTCTTAGATTAGTAATAAATAATCTTACAACACTAAATGCAATAATTAAATATGTAAAGATAAAGACTATTATCTTTGGACGATATAAATAATTACAATCCTTTATAAATAGGCATTAATAGTGATCATTATAAAAATAACCCAAATGCTAATAGCTTAAATAAATTAGATAATAAGTTTTAAAATAAATAAATAAAAGTATAAGATGATGATCAAACAGAAATAATTGAATTAGAAGATGATTGAAAAGATAATAATATTTTATAAAATAAAATTATTTTCTTTCTTAAATTATATTAATTTAAATAAATTAAAAAAATAAATAAATTTGCTTTGCTTTTAATCAAAATAAAATTCTAACTAACTAAACTAATTATATTTCATTTATTAATATTTGTTTTTCTTTATTATATATAGATTAAGATCAACATTTTTATTTGTATCATTTGTAAATTAAAAAATATATGTTGAATAAAAATTACCTTAAATTTAAAATGATATAAATGAACATTGATTGATACTCCTTTGAACAATTAAAATAAATTATCAAATAAATTTAATACATTTTATCTTTAACTTAAAAAGGTGGTGATTAACTAAATTAGATAGATAATCATTTTTTGGTATTTGATAAAAGTAAAATGACCTAATTTTTCTAACCTAAATAGTTAAGTCACATTTAATTAATTTTTACACTTTTTTATAATTTAATTATGATCATTAAGCTAAGCTTATAAATATTTTCCTTTAATTTGTATCTATTAATTAAGATATTAATTTATCAAAAAGTGAAAATAAGTTTGAAAGAATTTAAGAAATAATATTTAGAACAAAAAATGGGGGGTCACATCAGGGACTCATTCATTTTTGAATGGATATTTTTCATTCAAAAATTATTTTTCATAAAACAAAAAAAAAAAAAAAGTCAAAATACATAAAAATACATACAATTTTTAAAATCGGAATAGATAATAATTAATTCTAATTATTACTATTTTTAATTCTGTTATTTCATAATAAATAAATATCTACTTTTTTGATAACAAATTGTTATAAATAAAAGAGTTTTTACTTAAATTTGAGACACTAAATAAATACTTAGATTTATTTCTAATAAATAAATACTTAGATTTATTTCTAATAAATAAATACTTTGATTTATTTCTAATAAATAAATAATTTATAAATTTTAATTATTTATCCTACATTTTAGTTTGATTTAATGCTAAGTATTTAAATATTTTATTTTGAAATATTTAAAATATGGAATAAAAAATAGTTTCTTTTAGTTTGCCTATAAGAAATTTATTTCTTTTTTTCTTTACGCAAGCAAAATATATTTAATTATATTTATTATATAGTAAAACATTTGTTCTAATGAATTTAAGTAAATTAGGAATTCTACTTCAATTTAATAAAAAGACTTATTTTGTTAATAATTATACAATTTGGGAGATAGATAAATAAATAAATAAATAAATAAATAAAAAAGTTTTATCTCAAATAAAGAAAAGACAATTATTATTGAGATATTTAATATTTATCTATTTTAATTAATTAGCATCTACAATAACAATTGTTCATTATAAGATTCTGATCATAAAAATAATTATGAATTAGAATAAAGCTGATAATGTTATAATATAGATTTATTCTTTTTTTTAATTACAATTCATTTCATTATCAAATTACTTTCAAATCAAAAAATTATGGAAAATGTAATATGATTTTGCATTGTTTTCTTTAAAGAATAGAAAATTAAGTATTTTTCTGACTTTTTTAATATAAAGAATTGAAAAGTCTAGTTCATAAAGAGAGATATTAAAAGTGGTTTTTTTATTTGGTTTATAAATAATTAAATTCATAAAAAATTCTAACAAAAAAAAAGGAAGCAAAAAAACAAACTTAAAAAGAATAGAAAAATTAAGAATGAATAAAGAAGCTTATAAATAATAAAGAATATCTGAAAAACTGCCTTTTTATAATATTCATTTCGATAATGAAAAAGAATTAGCTAAGTTCTACATTTCAATATTTTAAAAATGCGTTGAGAGTATTTCTAATAAATAATTGACTCTTTTAGAAGAATTTCCTAAATTAGACCAAATATAAGACAACTGTTGCTATGTTATGAAGCTCTAATCAAATGATCTAATGAGAATAGCTAGAAAAGTAAAGTTTCTATCTTTTAGTAAAAAATATTTTAATGCAGACAACTTTAAATACGCTGTTTGTAATTTAAATTAATAACCTATGAATCTATAATGCAGGATAGTTAAAGTTAATGATTAAATAAATTTAAGTGATGATTATGAAAATCTTAGGGATTATAAATTTGTTCATTTCTACCAAAAAAATGACAGAATAAACCAAAACTAAATCATCTAAAGTACAATTAAATACTAAGATAACAAACTCTAACAGTAAAAATCTGAAGAGGTATAAGATCGACCTACTTCACTAAAATCTTGTACTAATTAAAGTTAAGTAGAAGAATTGCATGGATCTGTAATTTAAGAAAAAGCATTAGAAAATAAAATTAATAAGAATCTAAAGAAAGAAAACAGCTCTAATTTAATAGATGAAGATTCTGACAGCAAACATAGTAATGAAGCAGCAACTACAAATAATTAGAATTAAATTACAATAAATAATAAAAATGCAAATGAGATTAAAATTAATTATCAGCTTTAGTAGTAACATGGTTTGCCAAATTAAAGTCAAAAAGAAGATTTGTTAGAACAAATAAAAAATCTTCATTCTGAGCTTAATCAACTAAAGATATAGCTCAATTTAAAAGATACATAGCTCGGTCAAAAAGATAAAGTGAGCAATCTAAAAGAATTATAGATCATAGAATACATAAAAGTAATCTATTAACTCTAATTTCAATTATTTGATATGTAAAGTTAAAAACTTATGTAAACTATATATAATAGTTAAAATCCTTAATAAATGGGTATTAATAATGACTAATATTTAAATAACCCAAATCAGTTAAATGCTAATAGCGTAAATAAATTAGATAATAAGGTTTAACATTAATACATAAAAATAGAAGATGAAGATCAAACAGAAATAATTGAATTAGAAGATGATTGAAAGGATAATAATAAATTAATAAAAATAAAATTATTTTCTTTCTTAAAATATATTAATTTAAATAAATTAAAAAATAAATAAGCTTGCTTCGCTTAATCAAATAAATTCTAACTGAATTAATTAATATTTCATTTAATAATATTTGCTTTTCTTTATTATATATAGATTAAGATCAACATTTATATATATATTATTTGTAAATTAAAAAAATATATGTTGAATAAAAATTTCCTTAAATTTAAAATGATAAAAATGAACATTGATTGATTCATACTCCTTTTAAGAATGAAAATAAATTATCTAATAAATTTAATACATTTTATCTTTAATTAAAAAAGGTGGTGATTAATTAAATTAGATTGATAATCATTTTTTGGTATTTGATAAAAGCAAAATGAGATAATTTTTCTAATCTAAAAAGTTAAGTAACATTTTAATTCATTTTTACACTTTATTATTATTTAATTATGATCAAAAGCTAAGCTTAAAAATATTTTCTTTTAATTTTTATCTATTAATTAATATGTTAATTTATTAAAAATTGAAAATGAGATGATTATGAAAAAGTTTAAGAAATAATATTTAGAACAAAAAAACCATCTCTCTTAGTAATGTACAACTCATTAATTTACGTCCTGCTATCCACAATATCAAACCATTATCAGTAGCCAAACCAATTATAGCCAACATTGCTAGAATTATTATTTACATTTTAATAAATTTTACTGATGAATTCTAACTTTCTGATTTTATTTTATGAATTAAAACTAAATTATTTCATAAAAATAATAAAAGATTAGTTAAAAATATAATCATATGAAAATTAGAAGAACATAGCTGATCTAAAGTTTATTACTAGCAATCTGAATTGCTCTGAATCAAAAAATATTTTTTTTAACATAAATTTGTATTTATAGAGAAAATAATTATCATTCTTCTTCTTAAAATAATCTAAAAATTATAAACAAAATCCTGAAATAATTGAACCAAAAGAAACTAAATAATTAAAACAAAATAAGTAAAAAAGTAAATTTTGTTGGAATACAATAAATATGAGATGATTAATAATAGTAACTGATTAAAACATTTAATTAATTTATAAAAGGTTAATTTAATAAATTAAAACACAGAATTAAGATAAATTGATTATTGAATTTATATTTATTGAAAGTTTAATGTTTAAAATTTGTTGATTTGATTATAAATATTTTTAATTTTCCAAAATAAATTAAATTTTTTTGAGTTAAAAAATACGTTTAGGAATATTTAATGATAAAAATATTTAATAAATAAATTAGTTTTATTTAATTTAAAATTGCCTCATAAATTAATTTGAAGAAATTTATTAAAATTTATATAGAATAATTATTCTTATTATTATAATTAATTTTTATTTATTATTATAATCATAATTTAGGTCATATTTATTTTAGATTTTGTTTGTCAGTGATTTTCAATTTTTTTGTTTAGTATATCAAAATTAAGGGTTTTACCTATTAAAAATAGATTTTTATATCGGTGACAGGGCTTTTTTACTGTCAAACTATGCTAAATTTACTATATTTTGTATATTTTTATCTATAATTTCAGAATTAAGTTTAATTGGTATAAATTCTTTTGATTAAGGACTATCTTTTTAGCTATGTTTGTTATTATTTAGGTCACTACCCTAAGAATACTAGCTCTCTTCTAGATTGTTGCGGTTTAAGGCAAAACTATTTACTCTATTTCTTGTTCCTATTTTTTCATCTGAACCACTTCTATTTTTAGTATTTTATTTGCCTACATTAGGAGTTTCAAATCCATTTGATTTCTTCTTTTACAGTATTTATTTTTTCTACAAGTACGATCCTCTTCTATTTTCTTTGATATTTTAATCATCTTTGCGTTATTTGTTTGCTTTTTATTTTTTTAAAGCTTTTATGAGTTTAGAAAATTATTTTCCAATAATTTTGTTAGCCTTTGCAATTACTCTCAGATAATTTCCTTTAGGGAAGTAATGCTAAAATTATTTTAATTCATCAAAAGACATGATTGTGAATAGTGTTTCTAAATCGTTTTCATTTTACTAATAATTGGCACTTTCTGATTAGTTTTACAACTATAATTGCTGTAATTAAAGATTACTGCCTTGAAGGTTTTAAAATTAAGTAGACTAATTGCTAATAGGAACTATGTTTATAAGATTATTGTTATTCAGCATTTATTGGTCATAATTACTACTGCTAAGTTAAGGCAATAGCTGCAATTTTATATTTGAATACTGCTTTTAATATTAAGAGTGTGTATTTTTGATAGTATCATTACTTCCTTTCATAAGCGGAGTTCCCATCTCATTCATTTTGAAACCACTTTTCCCGACTCCTAAATAATTTTATCTGAATTGAGAAATAGAATTTGCCATGTTTACTCCATTTCCACTGTGTTTTCTTTAATTTAAGATATTTTACTGATCTATCAAATTCTTTCTCTGCAAGAAATTGAATTCTTCTTGAGATTCTATCTTATTTATCAAATTCATGTTGTGCAACTGCTATTTTTTTATGCTGATAGCTGATGTTGGTGATTGGTCTCCTTGTCTGCTTTTCTATTAGGAGCTAATACTTTCATTATTGCTTCTATTTAATTAGCTAGCAATCTTCGCCTTTTAGATAAAGTTTAAAACATTATTCTTGACAACATGTGAAGTTTATCTTGGAGATGGCATTGGGCTTAAGGGAGAATTCACATCTTGTTTCTAATTTTTTGCTCCAGGAAATAAGAAATTTGGGTTTCTTGCAGAAGGGGATAAATTCTATGTGTCTTATGTCGTCATGTTAGTTTTATTTTTCTTAAAGCTGGATTAAGAAGGAAGCTTTCCTTTTTATTTATCTTTAGAATGCATAGCTTTCTTTTTACCTTTATCATCGTGATCTCCGTAAGGAGTAGACTCTTCAGATACTTAGCTATCTTTGTAATCCTTATTTGATTGAATATTTTTGTCATGATTAATATCCTCAAATTGAGCCTCATTCTAATGGAGATTAATAAGGTTTTAACCAATTCTACTTATTTTTTTTCCATTTTTATTTAAATTTATAATTTGTTAATTACCTTAATTGTTAAAATATTTGCCATTTTCAGAGTTTTCTTAATTTTAAATTAAATGAATTAATTTTTAAGGCTGATGGCTTTATACCATAGAAATTCCTTATTTTCCAACTTAGTTATTTACACTTTTTGATGCAAATATTCCTAAATTCTTAAATGATTAAGATCTAAGATTTTCAATTTTTTCTATCGATCTCCTTTTAATGCTAGGAGAGAATGTATTTTGAATTTCTGAGTGCTTGATTTCGTATTCTCCAAATCTATTTTGGCATGATTTTCTTTTATTTTTATCTGAATTAGGCATGATTTCATTTTAAATCATCTGCTCAGTTAGAGTAATGTTTCTAATCATTTCAAGCCCGTTCTGAGAAGTTCTGCTTTTTCTTCTTTCTCTGCTCAATTGATCTTCTTTTCGTCTCTTAAGAGGACTTTGCTATTCTTAAGGTAATTTATTTTAATTTTCAGAAGCCTTTTAAAATAATTCATTAAAGTCTTTTGATTTGTTTGATTTTCTTCTTTTACTGTTAATATCTTAGTTAAAGCCATCTGCTATGTTCGAAAACGATATCCTTTTAGAGCTCTTTATTTCTGATTAGGAATTTGATATTAGAGTTTATGACCTTTAAGAGCTTTTTCTTTTCAAACCTTCTTCATTCAAACTATTAATTTTAACACTTTTTTCTTTTTTAATCTTCCTAGGATTGTTGCTGCTTTCTTAATTTTTTAAAGCTAATTCTTTGATGTTTGGTATTAAGTTTTGCTATTAATTTTATTTGCTAGAAATATTTTGTTGCTAACTATCCATTATTTCTCTAGGCTATTTCATTATCTAGCCTGTGTTTTTTGTGGTGCTTTTTTCTTCTTTTTCTATATTAAAATCATCAATTTAGTTTCTTGAATCTAATATTAAACGATCTTTTCCAGGTTCTTGCTTGCTAGATTTTTTACTTAGATCAAAATTATCTAAATCAGCTATGAATAAAAGCTGAGGAGATTATTCTTAATCAGAAAAGCAACCTATAGACATTTCTCTATCATGCATTTATAGAGTTCCTTGTTTTTTTAATGTTTTAGGAGATAAGTTAGTAGCAATAGGTATTTTATTAATTGTTCTTATACTTCCTAAATCTGAGTTTGTCATTACTGTTAACTGCTTAAATCCAGCTCTTTTAATTATGTTAGCATCAGAGCTATTAAGATTTTCATTATTATTTTTACCTGTTATACTCTACTCCATCTTAATACTTCTGTTACTTTACTAATTACTATCATTCTTTTTTTGGATTATATTTGGCGATCTCTAGCATTCATCACGAGTCTCTTAACCAAGTGAATTAAGAATCTTATCAAACTTTCTAGTGTTTAATCCCGAAGAACCTTTTTCAGAAGTTATATTATTTTACGAAGGTAAAGATTCATCTTATTCTACAAGCTTAGAAAGGTGCATTTTGTTAAAAATACTAGTAATTTATCTCTTTCTTTATCTAACATGATCTTAATCTTCTTCGACTTCTTGATTTTAGTAGCTTTTTTGCATAGCGTACTAGCCTACATCTTGTATTTCAGTTGAGTTAACTATAGACATATTTAGTTCTTAATTCATTTATGATATCGTGTTATTCTTTTAAATTTAGTAGGATGAATTCTACTCATTTTCTCCTTCCTCATTAATTACAGAATCGTATTTTTTTTTATTACTTTTTTTGCTATTTATACTCACACTATTATCTTCATCATAGTAAGTTTCAGTATCTTCCTCATCATTTTCATTGACACTATCTTCGCTGCTATTGTACTTTAAAGCATCTTCATCATATTCATCATCTTATGAAAAATCTTCGCCATAAAGTTCATCAAACATCAAATATTACTAATAATAATAATCCATAGTTTCTGTGTTTTAATTCCTCCATTTTTCTGCCTAATTATTTATTTTATTAATGAAAATAAATTTAAAAATAAGGAATTTTTTAAAATATAAAAAATCTTACTGCTATATTTTATTCTTTTGAAGATGTGAAGTACCCAAAAGTGACTATCCTCTTTCTATAGAATTTAGAATCTCTATGCTAATACAAATACTTTTTATTATCTTTTTTTATTATTATATATCTATCAGGCGAGTAATGAAAGTAATGGCAATGTTATATTTCATGATTGTAACTCTAGCAGCACTGACATTTCACTTCTAAAAACTCCTGGTTATTTTCAAATATAATAGCATCCTTAATATTGTTAAATTTCTCCATTTCCTAAGGCATATCTGAAATTAATTGCAAGAAATCAGATCTTCTGATCATTAACAGTTTTGAAAACTTAATTTAATTTTTTTAAAATTAATTTAATTAAATTGATTTGTAAATAAAACTTAATAAGTCTGTCTGAAATTTTTATTGAGAATTTAATTCAAAAAGTTATGATTAATTGCATTATTTACTTCTAAACTCCTAGCCATTTCTTTACGATCCTAGTTAGTAAAAAAACTCCATGCTCCGAAACATGCTCCAGGTCCTAAACTAACAATTTTTTTATAAATTTTTTCTCCTTCGTTGTTTTCTGAGTTATATTCTCGACAAATTTCAACCTTCCCTTTTTCTACAAAGTAAATAAACATATCATCATCTGACTATCCTTCAGAAAAGATAATTTAATTTGGTGTAGTATGTAGTATCTAAATGATGGGAATCATTTTAAGAATAATTGAGCTATTGAAGTTAGCACTGAAAATACCGTAATCCTTAAAAACTATTCTATTTGCTTCGACCATAAGTTTTTCACGCAAATTATCACTTAATGAATCAATAATTTTTTTTTCTAAGTCACTTTTATTTTGGTCTTACTCTCTCCAGTAGTAATCTAAATATTCTCTAATCCTGTACTGCAAAGAGAAATTAATATTCTTATTGTCCATATAGTCATTAATGATATAGAAGAATTCTTTCATTTATCTATCTTATGAAAATAAATCAGAGAAAATTTAACCAATTTAACTGATTGTGTAAGCAAAAATAACACATGATATAAGCATAGTGCCAACACTTGCAACTCTCTCAAAATTATTTGATGGAACAATATCGCCATACCCTACAGTGATCATAGTAACTGTAGAAAAATAATATGCAGCTATATATTAATTCGCCCATATATCATCTTTTTTAAAATTATTTCATAAATAAACCTTTAAAAAATAATTATTTTCTTAAATAAATAACTTGTTTTTTAATTATTCATTTTTTTGCATAAAATTTATTAATTCAGTAATTAGTGATTTTTATAATTTTCGATAATCTTTTTTAATTTTTTTTGAATAATTAATTTTGTTTTAAAATAAATAGAATTCAATTTTAATAAAATTTAGGAAGTTAAAATAAATTAAGAAAATACCTTCCATGCCAATTTTTCGCATCCAATTATTTTGATTTAAGTGATATTCTTAGAGACCGATAAACAACCAAATGCATCCAAAAATATGGGAAAAAAACAAAATGTTAAGAATAAGCTTTATAAGAGATATAATATTAGAAGTTTTTGGAGTGAGATGAAAGCTGTCTTCAAATTTTCTGAAAATCTTTTAAAAGTTCCTAAGTTTTACGAAGAAGAGCAGGACAAATACCTTTTCCACTTAAGAATCTTAGTTGCCTAACTCACTAATTAAAAGGGGAATTTAAGCTATTGCATCACTCCAGAAATAATATTTTATATAATAAATAAAAATCTTTTTTTTGTTGTTTACATTAACTCCTTTTTCAAAATATCCTGTCACCATAGAAAAAAGAATATCAATTAGCATCATTAAGTGTAAAGTGTAACCTACATAAGGAGTAATGAGATCATGGATAGAAACATTAATAGCAACATGTATAGGGATTATAAAAAAGTAAGTCATAAAAACAGTTCCAATTAATAAATCCCATACTAACTTAAATTTACTTGATGGCTCTATTACCGGAATATATTTTATTAACTTAACTAAGATTTAATACAATTTAAGATTTCTAATTAGATGGAGGAAGAAATATGTAGTATTGCTATTGTCAATCGAATTAGCACTTAGATCATCTAAAATTTTAAAAAAGGGATTGCTGAATTGAGTCATAATGTTTTTGTAATGTTATGACTTTACAAAGAATCTTTTCATTTCAACTGCTTGTTTCTTCAGTTTCACAAACCTTACCATTTTAGATAAATTAGATTCAACACTTTTTTCTGGAACTATGGTGCTTAACTTCTATAATCCACCTTATTTGCTAAATATTGTTGGCAAAAAGGAAGAAAATGTCTTTGTCTTTGATTTTAAAGTTAGCTTCTCCATAAAACTTGGAATTGATCTAACTGATTGAGTATTGACTAAAATATTAGGGGTTTCTTCTTAAATTACATGATTACCTTATTTCTACTAATAAATATCTGAATCATTCTTTTAAATGAATGCTCTTGAAGTTTACCCTCCTTCTAGAATGAGCTTAGCGTCAATCATATGCTAAGTCTCTTCATTTTCTTTATTCAGAAATGTATTAGATGGCGATACCAAAAAATTTGAAGATTAATTTGAAATAGCTCCCTAAACCTAAACCTAAGCCTAAGCCTATCCTCCTTAAAGATTTTACTATTATTAAATGCTTAATCTTATTTTTCTTCCACTTTTAAAGTAATTGCTTTGCTGGTCTAAAGTAAATTCATGTCCCTCGCCATCTTATTTTATATTTTCAATCGGGGATAACTTTATTCTACCATGCTTTTCAGCTGGAGGATTCTTTTTATCAGAATTATTTTTTCCTTTATTAATACTTTTTATGCTTGGACTCATAACTGTAGGATTCTCATTTTTTATGGGTTAATTAGTATTTAAATCCTTTTCCCTTTCTGTATTTTGCTAGGTTAGCAGCGTCTATATATTATCTTTATTTGTTGTGGTAAGTTGCCCTTACATACCAAGAAGTGAGGCATTTTCTGACAACATTAAATTGTAAATTTTTTAACCTTCTTGTTTGTTTGGCTTGTATCTATCTTATTTTATAGACTAATTAATTACCTTTCAAATGTACAATACTTTATCAATAAACTAATTATTATAAAGTCAATTTAATTACTTTGCTAATAAGAAAAAATTTTTGAAAAAAAACATAAGTTATTTAACAAATTAATTAGTATTACTTCTAAATCAAAGTATATGCTCTCTCTCTCGCCTATGGAATAATTGAGTTTGTTTACTTTTTTTTTGTTTAATTAGATTCTTTTCAAAATTTCATCAATTAGTAAATCAATCTATCAAATATCAAAAAAGATAATAGAATAGATAAAAATTGTAATAAATAAGACATTAAAATTGAAAAAAATTATGAAAATATGATATTTTTTATAAAATTAGTTTAAATAAAACAAAAGCTGTAGTTAAAACGAAGCTAAATCTCTTCATAAGTTATGAAAAGCTTTATAGAAAGTAAAATTAATAGTAAATAAAAATGAGTAAAGTATAGATAGATTAGAATCAATTTATTTTTTCTTATATGATTAAATTTTACTTATTAAGTTATGAATGTTATCATGCATTGATAAATTACTTAACTTTTTATTTTTTAACATTTTAAATCATTTAATTCTTTTTCAAAAATTTCAAGGAATAATTGTATAGTAACAATATTTATTAAATTTGTGTGGTTTTCATAATTATAAATTCTTTTATCAGCAGCTAATATGGAAGCAATAGTAAGTATTTAAATAAAATTAACCATAAATCAATTTTATCAAATAATTTATTTTTCTTCAAAATATTCAATCAATTGATAAATATTCCATATTTATTTTTAAAAATAAATTTAATTTATGATAAGTTGAATAATAAAATAAAAATAAGTTACATTTTACTATAAAAAATTAAGATAACAAACATCAATTAGCTCCGATAATGAATAATTAACTTTAAAAAATTTTCATTAAACATTCAGCTAAATAAATTTAATAATTTAACTAGCTTTTAGAACCATAAATTATATATATTATATGTATTGTAAAAATTTATATTTTACAAATATTTTTTTAAAAATTAATTTAAAAATTCAAATAATTATTTAAAAAAATCTTTAGTTTTTGGATTGGAATTTTTAATAGTTGCTCTAGAATGATTATAGTACAGTAAGTATTTTCTTGATTCTCAAATAAAATAGCATGCCATTTTTATTATTTTTTTACATTCAAAATAATAAATATAATTTGAATAAATCAATTCTTGAAAATTTTACTTTAATATTTAAAGTTGAAAAATATGAAAAAATAATTTTATTTAAAAATAAATTTAATTTTGTATTAACTATTTAAAGAGTAAAATAAATATTAATTATAGACATTAAATTAAAAATATCTTTTAAGTTCTTAACTAGTTTTAATATTATATATAGGTAGGTAGGTATTTAGCAATGTAGAAAGATAACAGTAGAGTAGCTATTTTATTTAATTTTAAAATCACTCAATGTTTCTTTTGTGGTTATAAAGTAGTTATTTATTTAATATTTTGTCCTTTTACTTTCAAATATAAGAATGTTAAGAACCTTAAAACAAACCTCTCAAAGAATATGCAGACAACAAAATTAATTCCAGACAGATATAAGCAATAGTAATTCCAAGATTTTGGCATCACAGAAATAGGTTCTTCATCGTCTCTCTAGACTTTGTCAAATATCTAATTTGGTAATTAAAAATTAAAAACATATAACATTTTTTAATTATTTACATCTAGCATGTATTTTGTAAAGGGATCATAAAAGAGTTGTACATAGATTCCAATCAAGAGTATCCCTATCACAGACCCAGTGAAATATTTATTAGTGTAAAAGGGCTTTTTGAAAGGTTTACCAATTGAAAAAGACAAACAAGTTGCTACGTATTGAAAATTTGTAAAGAAGAACAAGGTCTATTATTATAGAGATTAATTTAGAAATTAAATTGAGAATTTAATTTATTAATTTAAAAAATTAAATAAATTTAAGCTAGCTTACATTCCAATTTCCAATTAAATTTAATTAAATGTAAAATATTTTTATTTAATTAATGATAAAATAAAATACCGTGGATTCATAGCAAGATTTTCTACCATCAAGTTCATCTAAGTCACCAATATATGAATGAGCTTGCTTTACAGATAAGTACCAACTTTGACTTTTAAGTGTGAAGAATAAATAAATCTATTTTTTTAAAATTGTAAATATGAGTTATTTATTATTCATATGATATTTGGATTACTTAGAATAAACCGTTTATTGCAACTTAACCAATAACTGAGCAAAGGACAGGAAAGGAAACCAAGCTAGAACCTGGAACTTATTTAGATAGTTTATCATAAGAATCTGTTAATCCCATAAAGAAAGCAAGTGGAAGAATGATAACAACATCCCAATATAAGAACTGGAAGTCACCTGGAAGTGATTGCACTGTGTACAAGAGAGTAGTTGTGAAAAACTGTATCATAGAATATAATGCCATAAACTTAAAACACGAGAAACTAGTCACTAAAGCAGCTCTTCCTTCTTTTAATAACTAAAAAAATTTTTAGAGAATTGCTAATTATTTTTGAAAAAATTTTGTTAAAAATCACTTACTGAAATAACACATGATATATCTTAAACTTTTGAAGTAAAAGGAGCAGCGATAGAGGCCTCTGCTTCTGATAATGATATTCCTATGTCTGCAGTTTTTAATGCACCACAGTCATTAGCACCGTCTCCGCACATACCACAAGTTGGCTTCCAAGGTAGTTTTTACAGCGATTATAGCAATTGAGCTTTTTCATCAGGCTTCATTCTTGCAAATATTTATGTTCTTTGAAGCATAGTTTCTGCTAACTGAGTTTTAGCCTCACTCTAATCAGCCTCAGAAATTATCTTAGAAAAAGCTCTACCTGTTATAGCAAGAGCGAAAGCTTCTTGATTAACCCATGGCACTTATTGTTCCTTGTATTTTGCAAGCATATTAATATCTGTGTAAACGAGAGCCTGCATTTCTTCTTTTTCAGGTACTTCTTCATTTCCTTGCTCTTCTTTATCTTCATTATTATCATCATGATTCAAAATATCTGGTAAATCTAAAGTAGACGGGACACCTCCAGATTTTCTAAGCTTTTAAAGTTAATTAAAGAGAGATCTCCTATTATTTCCAGTAAGTGCGCTAAAAGGACTCTTTATGCTATTACGACTGCTAGAAATAATTTTTTCATTATGCTCAATAATTTCTAATTCTTCGAATAGTTCTTTTTCTTCTTTGATTTCTGGAACTCCTTCTTCTTAATATTAAGCAACTCCTCCAACAGGCTATAAGTTATCTTCATCCAAAACTTTATCACCCATTTCAAAATCTTTCCATTCAATGTATTGTTCATCTGGATTATCAGGGTCATCTTGCAAATCTCCAAAATATACTCTCATGTCTTATCTTACTATATTACATTATCTTCCCACAGATATAGCAGTCAGAGCATTATCACCTGTTACCATAATAGTTCTGATATTAGCATGAGAAAGTTTATCAATAATTTCAGTTGTTATAGGTTTAAGTTTATTCTCCATGATAAGCAAGCCAGTGAATATTAAATCTTTTTCTAAATCTTCCCTATCCATTTTTTAAAGTTTTCTATATGTCATTTTTAACATTCTAATACCAAACGCCAACACTCTAAATCCCTTTCTAGCATAAAAGTCAAGTACCTTTTTAATTTTATTAATATTTTTTTAATTATTAATTTAATCTATAGCGTCTTTAAAATGAAAAGCAATAAATGAGCAAAGAGAATTAATGAAGTTTTATTGCTTTTAAATATTTCTTATAAATTTATTTTTTTAGTTTTGAATGAGCAAAAAGTGAAAAATTACTTTATGGAAGTTATGAGGAATAGAAGATGGACGTGAAAGTTCAAAGATTTTTTCAGGAGAGCCTTTGACATGCAATCTAAAAAAGTCGGTATCATTTGATAAATTACGGACGATTGTACTCATTCTTTAAAGCTTAGAAGAAAATTCAAATCTTTTGATAATACCAATCGATGTAGGGAGTGTTTTCTTAATTATAGATTTTTCAATTGTATTCACATCGTTGTTGAATAACTCTTCCTTTTATGTAGGTTGCACAATAGCGAGTACCAATTCATCATACTTTCCCATGTCATTTTCAATTAATTCCCATTAGGTAGCTTCAAACATTTTCACTTCTAAAGGATCACCAATAAGTTCTCCTTTTACTCTAGTAATGCCATGACAACTAGCCATGCATTCTTTTAAAACTATCTCAGGATCTCCTACAAATGAAAAAGGATTTTATTCTCCATAAATTGACTCATCTTCAGCTATTGTACTTAATTTCACTTTCTTATTCTTGCCTAAATCCTTAGTATCTTCAACCAGCTTTAAAAATTTTACATTGTTTGGAGAATTGTAACAAATTGGACGAACACCATACATATCTAAGCCTTCTTCTGTGAGAGTACCTGTCTTATCAAAGCACATAATAGTAACTTTACCAGAAATATTAACCTTTATTATATTAAATTATAAAAATATTTTATTAATTTTTTTCTTTCTCAAAAATAGATTCTTTGTTAATTTCATTTTTTTATCAAATTTTTTTATGTTTTACCTTTGGTGGAGATATGCAAAATATTTTATGATTCTTTAATCTGTTTATTGCAAACGATATACCAACTGAAAGACAAGTTGGTAGTGCAGGAGGAACAGTTATAGTAACAAGATCGAGGGAATGCAAAAACATGTCTCTAGGATCAACAAATCCTTCTCTGAGACCCTAAATTTGATCTGGAAGAGAATAAATAAAACCCAAGACTGACATGACAGCCATGCAAGCAATAAATTTGAGAGAGTCAACATAAAACGAAAAGGAGTTACTTTTAGGGTATAAAATTGATCTAACCAGTTACCCTTTCATTGTGTTAAAGCTAGTCTGACTAACCAAACCAAGCACAGGAATCTTACCCTTCATGTAATATCTATTAAAATTTATTAATTTAAAGAATTAAAAAATATTATTAAAAATAAATTACCTTGTCTCGATACATTTGGTGCCAGCAAATAATGTAGATTACTTGCCTTCTTCTTAAGAACTATAATAATTATTGTTGTATGGTAAAGAAGATTTCATAATAGGAATAGACTCTCCCGTAAGCATAGATTCATTCATAATACATGATCCATTTAGCAAAATAACATCACAAGGCATAATTTAACCATCTGTAATTTCTATGATATCACCAGGAACTAAATGAATAGAGGATATTTCCTATCTTTTCTTTATAATTTCCAATGCTATATTTAGCATCCCTTATCCCTTTTAAGTATTTAAATTAATTTTAAAAAACAATTTCATTTTTTTAAAATATTAAAATTGAATATTTTATCAACTCAATTTTTTATTAAAATTATAATTTTTAACAGAAATAATTTTAGTAAAAATATAAAATTTTTCTTTTCAAAAACGTTTAATTAAAAAATTTTTTAAAACAAACCAAATAAAATTTATCACATCTTTTTTAATATAAATTCTTTGATAATTTTTAGCTTTCTTATAATCTAAGTTTTTCAAAAATATTTATGTGTTAATATTTATTTAAATGCAAAAAATAATTTTTTTAATAAAATATTTTACCTGGATAATATAATCTTAAATGCATCTATAAACATAAACAGGTGTTTCAAAGTAACTCATTTTTTTAAGTTTAGAGTAATTATTTTTTGCTTCTAATAGATTGATTACAGCAGAAAAAACTGAAGTAACTAAAATAATAGTAGCATAATAATAATAAGGTAATATAAACCATAGAACAAAACTGAATAATTAAAATAGATAGAAAGGAGAGAGCACTTCATCAAATAGTATTTTTACTGTTGTTTTATCAGGTATTTCGGTGTTGTTAAGTCCATAAATAGATTTAAGCTAATCCAAACTTTCTTAATCCTTAATTCCTCTACCATATTAAGTATGAATTTCATTATTAGTTTTTCTATTGAGTGCAAATTATATTGGATGAAAAGAATTCTACAAATCGTCATAGTAGTATGAATATAATCTAAATGTAAATGTCTATTTTATATTAAATATTGCTTAAGTTAAGTAATTTGCATAAATTAGCTACTTAAATTTTATTAAAAATCTTATTAAAATATTTAGATATTTATCATGTACTCTTATTTATTTATTTATAAATTTATACTTTCTTATTAATTCTAAATGAAAAAAACTAACTTAGCATTTAATTTTCTATTTTTAATTTCCATATTGGCATATTAAATAAAATCAAAATTTAAAGTTAATAATTCAATTTAAAATTAGTCTATTTTATTTGCTTTGTAAATACTCAAATAACCTTTATTTAAAATAATTACAAGATATTCCTTAAGCTTATTGTCTATATTCATTTCTTTGATCACTACTGTTTCCAATGTTTCTACATCATCTGTATTTTATTTTTTATAAAAAAATACTATTAAAATGATTTAATTAGTCCATAAACTACCTCCAGATGTAATCTTTAAGAATCTGGCTTTTGATTAATCGCATGATTTCATTTAAATCATAATTTTGAAGTTAATTTGCCATCTTGAAAACAGGTACAAGATACCTCCACTAAATACAAATAAAAAGTAAGAGAAAATCAACTTGATATTTGAGATTTCATATGCTTCAATACTTTTAATAATGCCTTCTTCTTGAACATCATCTGGTAAAACGAAATCGCAGCTGTTTTCCTTTTTTTCTATGTTTTTAGCACTCTCTTCTTAATCAAAGGGGATACTTTTTTAAACAAAAATAAATTATTTAGATATTAAGTCAAAAATGGAACAAATTTTGGAATTTCCAAGAAATTTAATGTCAATTTCAAAGATAAATAAAATTTCTCTCTTATTCGTGCTTGCTAAATAAATCATTTAGATTTTCCTTTCAACGAATTGAAGTAAAAAGGCTTATAATTAAAAATCTAAAAAATAATCCTTTGAGATTTAATATATTGATAATTGCTAATTAAACTTAATGATGAAAGTTAAAAAACTTCATCTCAATTGATCAAAGGACTCTAATCATTATAATTAATTTTTTACAGCTTCTCTTTTAGGGGATTTTGGCTTGATATCATTTATTTGCTAAAACTACTTTGATTGCTTTGAAATATTTACAAAAGTTTGTGAAACTCTATAAATGAATGATATTTTAACCCTTACTTTTTTTTAAATAGCTATTTTTTGATAAATTTATATTAAATCAAAATGTTAATATTTTCTTTCGAAGTGGCTTTAATTCATAAAAAAATCATCACTCTTTTACTTACTATTTTTGGTAAATTCTATCTTAAAAAATAATACATTATTGTTTAGATTCTTGTTTAATAATTTAGGTATATTCATTTTCATTTTCTATAAATTACACATTTTTTAGTATATATACCGTTATTTCATTATCAAATCAATAAACAGTTAATTTTATAAAAAATCGAGAGTGAGTTAAAAATCAAATCTTAAAAAAAAAAGTTGATTTGTGTTTTTTTATTCATTCTAAAGTGTTTTTATGTTGCTTATAGATTCTACTAAAACAACTAAGATTAAATTTATCAAATAATTGTATAAATTTATCTAAAAGATCAAATAAATCGAAATCCAATATTACTAAAAAAGACTTTTTAAAATTAAGTAACCTAAAATATTTAAACGACAAAAACGAACATAAATATCATTTATTTAAATATATGAGTTTGCATTTATTATATACCCAGCACAGTAATTTAACTATTACTTCCTCATAAATAAAGCAGCAAATAAAATTTATTCCAGCAACAAATAATATAAAATAAAGCCAAGAATTAGGCATTACTGTTAAGGGTTTTTCTTCATCTTCTCTTTGAACCGTCAAAAAAATCTTTTAATAAAAAATATTAAAATAATTAAAGATAAAAATGGCTTAAATGAAATTACATTTAAAAACTATTATAAGAATTGACCAGAGAACAAATGAACGTACAACGAAAATATAAGTATTGCAATGACTGAAATGGTAAACCAAGTATTTGTATAGAATGGTTTTTTAAAAGGTTTTCCTATGGAAAAAGCTAAACAAGTAGCTATATATTGATAGCTGCTGAACAGAAAGAGAGTCTTATTTTTAATTTATTTAATAAAAATAATTTATTTTTGTTAGATTATTTTATCAAATTTTACTGTTGATTCAAAGCAATTTTTCCTTTCATCTAGATCTTCTAGATCGCCAAGATAAGTGTGAGCATCTTTAACTGACAAGTACCAAGGTTATTTTTTCAGATGTAAAAACATGTAAGCCTTAATACAATTTATAATTCAAATTATTCAAAATAAAATAAATATATTTTTTTATATTTTACTTAAAAAGCTCCATTTAAAACAGTTTATCCAATAACTGATGAAAGAACTTAAAATGAAACAAGACTAGATCCAGGTACTTATTTAGATAGATTATCACAAGAGTCTGTAAGTCCCATAAAAAAAGCAAGAGGCAGGATAACAGCAACATCCCAATAAAGGAGTTATGTATCACTGGGTATTGATTAGACAGTATAGAGTAAAGTGGTAGTAAAGAATTAAATTGCAGAATATAAAGCCATAAATTTGAAGCAAGAAAAGCTGGTTACAAGTGCTGCTCTTCCCTCTTTTAAAAGCTATAAAAAAAGTTTAATTTATTTACAATAAAAAATTCTTTTAAAAATAAAAAGCAAAATCTAAACATTTTAATTTATTTTTTCAGGATTATTACATGAACAACGCAAGATATATTCTGTACTTTAGAAGTAAAAGGGGCTGCTATTGAGGCTTCTGCTTCTGATAAAGAAATTCCCACATCTGCTGTCTTTAGAGCACCACAGTCATTTGCTCCATCTCCACACATCCCACATACAGGTTTTGAAGGTAGCTCTTATAATGATTATAATAACAATGTCTTTTCTTCTGGCCTCATTCTGGCATATATCTAAGTTTTTTAAAGCATAATTTCTGCTAGATTCTACTTAGCATGACTCTGTTTAGATTCAGAAATTATTTTTGAGAAGGCTCTTCCAGTTACAGCTAATACAAAGTGATCGTCATTTAGCCAAGGGTATTGAAGTTAACTTTCTTCAAATTCTTAAATTTGATCTTTGAAATTAGTATCTGCATACTTCTAAGTTACAGAGTTTTATCTTATAAAATTAGTAGAAGAGTTATCTGTGTTACTTTATATTGATTTTCTTATCATATCTATTTATTCCTTAATAGTCTTATTTAGTTATAAAGGTTTTGAAGTTAAACATTATTAATTGCTCTATTCCAAAATGTTAAACAGTATTTTTTCTTCTTAAATCTCTTAAATACCATCTTCTATGTAGTCTGCAATCCCATCAATTGGTTATAAATTTTCTTCATCAAGGTATTTATCTGAGTGTTCAAAGTCCTTCCAAACAATTTCACTTTCATGATGATTTTCCTCATCAATATCACCAAAATATACTCTAGTTGAATTATTAACTATTAAACACTGCCTAGCTACAGAAATAGCTGTAAGAGAATTGTCTCCTGTAACCATAATCGTGCGAATATTTGCATTATTTAAATCATTAATAATTCCTTTCGTCTCAGGCTTTAACTTGTTTTCCATTATCAGCATCCCAACAAATGTTAATTAGTTTTCAATTTGATCTCTTTCACATTTGTATACATCTTCGATCCTCATATCCAAGTTTTTAATAGCAAATGAAATTATTCTAAAACCTTTTCTTGCATAAAAATCTAAAACCTATTCAATAAACCAAATTATAATTAAAAGAAACTAAAAAAAATATTTTTAAATAAAATATAAAAAGAAAAATAATCTCAAATAAATTTTAGAATAATTTAAATAAATTAAATTAAATAATTTATTTAGTAAAAAGAAATAAATTTAGTTAAGCTTAAAATTTTTTAAAGTTAAAAGAAAGAAATATTTAGTAAAATTAATCAAAATAAATAAACAATTCCTTCTTTTTATTAAACTTAAAATTATTGAAAATTAAAAGAAAATAATAAAGTTAAATTTGTCAAATTATTGATTGGAATCAAAAAATATCTTTTCCTTTATTTTAATTATTTATCTTTGCTTCATAATATTCTTAAATTATTTTTAAGCTTAGTGTAAAAAAATAGATTTAGAGTAATTTTAATATTTAAAAAAATTATTATAAAAAATAATTCAATAAATTTACCTCATGATAGTTATCTGGAATGGTTTCAGGGTTTGATAAATCATGAATTTTCTCTGGGGATCCTTTAACATGAAGACGATAAAAGGGTTAATTATTACCTATTTTCTTAACTATTGAGCTCATTCTTTAGAGTTTTGAAGAGAACTCAAATCTTTTTATTATAGCCAATTGAGAATGGCCTTCGTTGTCTTTTACTAGAGCTTACATTTTAAATTCATAGTTTTAAGAAATGTTTTCTTCTAAAAGTATCCATTTTGTGGCTTCAAACATCTTAATCTCTAAAGGATCTCCAATTATTTAATTATTTACCCTTGTTATACTATGACAACTTGCCATACATTCCTTAAAGACTACATCTGGATCTTCTAAATAAATAAAAGGATTTTTATTTCCATAAAGCTGAGTTTTTTGAATTTAGTTTAGAGATTTGCTTTAAATTTCTTATAATCCCATCCCTTGAATATCCTCAGTTAGCTTGTTAAACTTTACCTTCCTGCCTTAAGTATATCTTATACTTCTTACTCCATACATATCTAGACCTTCTTCTGTTAATGTTCCAGTTTTATCAAAGCACATGACAGTAACTTTGCCACAAATATTAACCTAATTAAATACATATTAATAATTTTAAGTATAAAAATATTATTCTATAACTTACTTTGGGAGGAGATATGCAGAAGATTTATTATTTTTTGAGACGAGACATCGCAAAAGAAATACCAATAGAAAGGCAAGTAGGAAGAGCTGGCGGGACTGTGACAGTAACCAGATCCAAACACTCAAGGAACATTTCTGTATAAGTAACAAAACCCTCATTAATACCCTCAATCCAGTCTGGTAGAGAAACAAAAAAACCCAAAAGAGACATAGCTGCCATAACAGCAATAAATCTCATCGAATCAGTATAAAATGAAAAAGAATTTTGTTTTGGATATAAAATAGATCGTACAAGCTATCCCTTTAAAGTGTTAAAACTGGTCTGACTGACCAATCCAATAACTGGAATTTTTCCTTTTAGATGTATTCTTGTTTCTATGCACTTTGTTCCAGCAAACAAAGTAGATTATTTTCCATCATTCAAGTAATCGTATCTATTTTCATTATAAGGTAAGCTCTGCTTAACAATTGGAATTGATTCACCAGTAAGCATAGATTCATTCATAATACACTACCCATTAAGCAAAATAATATCACAAGGTATTGTTTATCCATCCTATATTTCTATAATATCGCCAGGAACTAAGTGCAAAGAGCTTATTTACTTTCTATGACTTATTATATTCTCACATAATTTAAGTTCCCCATTTTCCTTTTAAATTAAAAATAGATAAATAAATAAATTAGCAAATTTTTCAAAATAAAAGCATTTTTTTATAGCAAATAATGTTCTTAATTAATTAATATTTGATAACATTTTTATAAAGTATATTTATGGTAATAAAGAAATTACAATTTTAATTTTATCTGGCAAATATCTATAAGAAAATACTGGCGTTTCGAAGTAGCTCATTTCTTATAATTTTTTATAGTTAGATTTTGCTTCGTTTAGAGTGACTATAGCTGATACAACAGAGGTAATTAAAATAATAGAAGCATAGAAATAGTAAGGTAAGATCATCCAAAGCAAAAAACTAAAAAGTTGAAACATGTAAAAAGGAGAAAGTACTTCGTAAATCAATATTTTAATGGTAGGTTTTTGAGGTATTTCAGTATTATTTAATCCATATATTGATACCTATTAAGAAAAGGTGTTTTCATCTCTTAACCCTTTACCATATGAGTCTATGATTTATCTATTAGATAGCCTTGTTAAGTCGATCTGGATAGGATTATATTTGTTCTCATTAAAGTAGAACTTATATAACCTATATGTGAAGGTCTTATATAATTTTACAATTTAATTAATTTATTTAAGAAAGATATATCAAATATTACTTTGTATGTTTAAATAGAATCTATTCCATTAAATCCCATTTATTAAATCATTATTTTTTCTAAACTCTACGTTTCATCTTTTGATAAGTTTGGAATATATTTCACATCAACCATTTTAAAAAGCAGAAATATTTACCATCTGAAGTAATTAACAAGAATTCTGCCTCATTAGGAATACATGGCTCCATTTATAACTTAATTCTAAGTGTAACCTACCATCTAGTAAATAGATAGATCACTCCAAAAGTTAAAAAATTTAAAAAATAGAAAACGATCATCTTAATTGGAGATACTTTAAATGACTCTATCATTTTTATAACGCCTTCTTCTTAAACATTCCAAGGCAGAGTAAAATTTACGTTGTTGAATATAAATTTTTACTCTGCTTTATTTTGAGTGTCAAATTCTAAACTAATTATTTAAAAATAGAGTAATTTTTTTAATAGACCATTCAGCTTTGAAGGCAAAAAATAAAAATAAAAACAGATTCCATTTGCATTTAAATGTTTTAAAGTAATTTTTAAGTCTTATATTAATGGTTTAGCAAACTTTACTAGATTTTATAAACAAAATTTGTTCTATTAACAATGAATTATAATTTGATTTCAATAAAATGTGTGTTTGCATTGCATGCATAAATAAGATTAATTTACAGTGGCTATTAGCAGTCACTGAGATGTAAATTATCATTGATATTTTTAGACATTATTAATAGATGCTTTGTCGTTAGATTTAAAAATCAATCCTATTTTAGTTACTTTCTATGACCGCTATTAAATTTAACTCTTTAGATTTTGAATAAATTGATTAAATTCATAGTTTTTGCATACTTTTTAAATATATAGCAAAAATAAGATTCAATCCTCTTTTTAAATCGAGTAAGTTTTTTCCATAAAGTGATAAATAAATCCTTTCATAAAGATAGTAATTAACATAAATTTTTGTGAAAAGATCTCTAGCATTTCCTTTTTTCTAACATTACTTTATTTCCAAAGATTATTTTTATATCATTCAGAAAAATTGTAAGTAATTTTTATATTTTTATAAATAATAGTCCGTACTCTTCTTTAGATGATAATATTTTACACAAAAAATCTTCTTAAAATCATATATAATATCAAGAAAGAGAAAGATTCATTTCAATTTTATTTAAAACAGCGATAGCAAAAATATTAATCAATCGTTATTTCTAAGTAACAAAATATATTATAGAAAGAAAATAAAAATACAAACCATTACTTAATAAATTAACTCTTGTAAAAAATATTTGAAAATTGATCAAAAAGATTTTGGATATTTTAATTTTAACTTTTGAAAAGATAAAACTAGTTTTAAGATTGTTAATATGTAAATACTAATTTGTATTTAAAAAAATATAAAACCAATAATTTATTATTAAGAAACAAAATAGGTATCATATTTTTGCCAAATCCTTCAAATAAATTATATATTTCTAGTAAGACATCATTTTTAATTTGTTAAAACCAATAATAGGGAAGGAATGTTCAAAAGAAATAAATTTATCTAATATTTATCAATTTTTGGCAAGAATTTATTTTCAATTTAATGCATCTAGTAAATAAATAATTTGATATTTAGATTATATCTTAAATTTATCTTGAAAAATAAATATTCTTAAAAACTAAATTTTAAAACAATGTTTAAATAATTAATTTATAAAATCTAAATAAATTGCAAAGTTGTTATCAAAAAATTAAATAAATAGTGATCAACCACTTAAATATTAAAATTATTATTTTTATAAAAGAATGAAAATGAAAACTTAATATTGACTAATAACTTATCACATTAAACTACAATAATAAAAATAACATTTTATTGATACTTAATTAATTATTTTGATTATTATTTTAAATTTCTAAAAATATTACAATTCTACTACATAAAGAGAAGAAAGAAATATAAATCAATTATTTTTTCATAACTTTTCATAGTTGGGGTGTTCTTAGTCGTTCAAGAAGAAGAGCTTGAACATGTCATTGAAGAAGTGGGGATGGTATTTGCAAGCACGTTCACAGTCTGGAGAGAATGTAAGTTCTAACAATTTAGGCTAGAAAGTTCCGTTTTCAATCATAACATCCATACCATAAGAACCTCTACAGTTAGGATGAGGCATACCAGGATACTTCTTGTAGACAGCCATAAACAATTCTTTAACCATAGTTTTGATTTTATCATGAATTGCAGCCCATTTAATTTGTGTGTACTCTTTCTCGAATTCTTCAATGAATTCATCATAGTGAATTTATTTAAGTTTTTTACCATAATTCATAACTGTAAAATGGGTTTCATAGATTTCGCGAGAACGATAATCATTTGTGAAATCGTTGTTTGAGGTACGAATCCAAAAGACTTTATAGATGAAGACTTCGAAAGGCTCAAGTGATCTGACTGAAACAATGTAACGCAAGTCAATCTTCTTACCAAAAAGTGTTACTGGATTAGTTATATATTTTTAGGCTAATCTGGGTAATGTTTCTGTTTAACGAATGATTTAGTCAAGATTATCGGTTACTATCATATCTAAGCTTCTAGCTAAATTAAAAGCCTTGATGATCCAAACATTATCTTCTAAAGTGTTGCGTCTTCTTTTATATTCACCAACAAATTCGTTCATTTAAGTTTTTAAGTTATATGTGGGTTAAATCCAATCAACTTGGCCAAGAGTAGAGAAAACTGTATCAGCCAAATGATTTTTTTGAACAATATGGCACTCATCTGGGAATTAGTTGCAGAATTTAGTCATGTAGTGGTCTCTAATAGTTTCTTCAAAACAGTGAGTCAAGAAAATAACATTAGCTTCTTCAAGAGTTTTGCAAAGTTAAAATTCAGGAGCAGTGAGATACTCAGAAACAAGAGAGTTGTCAGTGATAACCTTCAAAGGTGTCTATTTTGGCAAAGTATCATTCAATCCTACGAATTTAGCAGGGATACTCTTGAATTCAGAAATATACTTTTTGCCATACAAAGTTGTTTACATCAATTTATTTTTGTATTCTTGGTTAGCCTTGATAAAGAAATCATCAGGTACGTTGAACCATATAGAAAGTCTAGCAGAACGATGTGACTTTTCATCGAATCCAACTAAATAATCTCTGAATAAGCAGCTTCCTGCAGAGATATCCTCTAATGGCCACATTATAGTGTAGGACTTTGCTTCCTTTAATTAATTATTAGGAGCATAAAGGAAAGGAACCATACGAATGTTAGGTGTATCAGAGTGCTATACAGAGATACCACATAAATCATTTAAATACCAGTAAGAAGTTTCATCCATCTATCTATTTTTTTTAAATAAAAATCAATATTGAATTAAAAATAATTTATTAAATTTGATTAGAATCAATCAATCAATTCTAATCTAATTTTATTTAATTTTTAAATAAAAAAATTATTTCTATTTTATTAATTGCTTTTGTTAAGTCTAAAAAGATTTATATTATTAAGCTGAGTTTTATTCAAAAAAAATATATAATTTATTTGTAATATTTACTCTTCACTCATAAGACGGTAATTGCCAGCAATCTTCCAGATATTCTTAATGATAAAGCGTATATCTTCTTCGTTTGGTTAAGGTTTTCCATAAGCGAAGGTTCTATCGTTAACACTCATTAAAGTAGGACAAACTTCTTTAATCTTTCCTTATTCATAAAGATCCCACAAAAGCATTTCTACTTCCCAGTCTAGATTTATATTTTTTAACTTGCTGCACTTAGATAACAAATTTAAAAGCTTTGGTGTATCAGTTTCAGCCTTGAAATCATTCTTAGAGAGATCTAAGTGAATCAAATTCTTAAAAGCTGTAAAAACTGTAAAATCTTCTAATCTGAAGACTCCCTTTTTCTATAAATCTAACTATTTAATCATGTCAGTTTTAAGCTTTGTGCTCTTATCTAAGTTGTACTTAAAGTGAGCAAACTTAAGACCAAAGTCGGTTGCATTTTTGGTAAACTTGGAATTTAACAATTCAATATTGGGAAACTCCTCTTCGATTTTTTCGAAAAATCCTTCTGTGTCGCTGACTGGGTTGTAGTTCAAAAAGAGCACTTTCAAAGCTGGTAACTTCTAAAGGACTTATCTGACTAAATCTAAGGACTCAACTTAGTTATCAAATAAGGAAAGAGAAACAACATCCTTTTAAATATCTAATGTAGTAGGATCAACGATTCCTTGTTCATCGAATTCAACAACTTCCTTGCATTCAAATTTATCTGATTTTGTAATTCCAGGTATGTTTTTTTTATCTCCAAAATATTGCAATTCGTATCTTAGCTTGTTGATTAGCTCAGGACTGGATTCAAGAGCGCTTCTCAAACCCTCCATTTTGAATGTGAATTAATGGTCAATCAAAATAACTTTGGAGTGCTTTTCAACATTTTCTAGAGCTACTGATTAGAAAGTTTCTTCCTCCTAGTTGTCCTAAACTGCAAAACTATCAGTGAAATCAAAAACTTCTTTTTCTAACTTATCTAATAATTAAGGTACTAAGTGAGCAGGGAAACCAGCTCCGTACAATTAGACTCCGTGGAACTCATAAAAATCCTTGTACTTTCCTTCTAATACTATTTCACCTTTTTGTTATTCCATTTTAAGATACCTACTTATTTCTTCTTTATAATTTACTAAATTCCTTTTATAATTTTTTGCAAATATTAAGTTATTGAATTTATATTCACTTATTTATTTGTGGAGTTTAAATATCTAAAAAAAAGAAAACAAAGATCTTTCTTTTTTATCTAAACACTCAAAAGATATCAGTCAAGCTTAACTTTTTTGACAAAATTATATTTTGAAGATAATATTGAGCTTATCAGTTTAATTAAAAATATATCTATTTGTAAACTCATTAAGACTTTTATTTTTTAATGAATAATTTACAATATATTTCAATAGACATTATTTTTTATTTTATTCAACTCTATTTGTATTAATATACTTATTACCAAAAACTACAATTTTAACATATCATAAAAAGCTTTCAATAAATATTTTTTAAAAATAATTTACAAAAATTACAAAAAAACATACATACATACATACATACATACATACATACATACATACATAATTTGAATAAAAATCAAAACATTTTTTAAATAAGCTATATGTTAGATTAATTCTCATTTAAAAAAAAAAAATATGTAGACTGCCATTTAATCATTTATATATTAATATTTTTTACAAATTCTGCTAATTACTTATATCCTATCATTTCGAATTTTAAAACCATGAAAAGCAAAAGAATGTTTATTATAAATAATATCTGTTTAGAAATATTTAAAATGTTTAGTTTATTTGGAAAATTTAATTTTAATATTCAGATTTAAAAAATAAAAACTAAATTAAAATATAAAAATAAGATAAATATTTTTTTTTTAATAATTATCAGTCATCATTCCAAGATGAATATTATGAACCATAAAGAACTCTGTTTTCATAAAATTATAAAGGTTTTTTTAAAAGCTTCTGCATTTTGTTATTTTAACATGTACAATATTCTCTTCGAGTATAGCTACACAATATGTCATCATGATTATCAATAAATAAATAAGCAAAATGAGTCTTTCCTTATTCTTAATAAATTTTTTGAAATATCTTAGCTTATTTGTCGTGATACAAGTATTCACCGTAGTCATAACAATCGTAAATATATTTCTTACCAAATGAAGTGAAATTAAATTATGTTAACCTTTTAAATTTTTAAAAGAATTGAATGAGATAACTTGGCAAATAATTGACACTATAAAGTTTTAGAGCTACTAATCTGTGATAATCTTTGTAAATTTTTTCAATTTAGAAATTTTGTAACATTTATTTTTAATCAATATTGAATTAATATGAATACTATTAATATTAGAATTAAACATCTAAATTTATTAACTTCTTTTGGTTATTAAAATGTTTGCTGTTTTTTTTTAAGAATTCTAAAAAAATAGAGATATATCGGAAATCAAGAGACACATTTTAAAGACAATTTATTTAGGATATAAATTCATATTCTTAAATTATTTTAGTTTTACTTAAATCCAGTGATAAATGTGTGATGTTTGCCTTCATAAAATTAACACTATTAATTAATTCAAAAATATTTTTTTTCATTTCATTATTATTATCTTGAGCAATCAATTTTAGCTCTATATTTTAGCTACTGCCTATCTTTTAAAGAAGATAAAAATATGATTGAATAATTTCAATCAAATCTTAAATACTTTCAAAGTCAATTTCAAATTATCTTCTTTCTATTTCTTCAGATAATTTATGTTTTATCTTTGCCATTTATTATTTTTCATTACTTTCAATTATATTTAAATTTATATCGTAAGCATTCTAGATATTTCTTTATATTTAATTTTATAGAATAAAATCTTTATAAAACTATATTTTAAATTTACTATTTAAATACATTTTAATTGAGTCATTAAAGTTATATTTTATTAAACAATTCTCAATCTATCCTCTTTGTACTTTATTAATATTTTGTTCTTTTAAACTAAAAATTGTTACATTTTCTTTAGTGGTAAAACTAAAATTGTGTCTTGATTTAATTTACTATAGAAGAAAGCATGTTTTAACACCAGTGAACTAAAGATCTTTAAATAAAATATTTATCTCTGCCATTTAGTGCTCAGATATTTTAAATTACAATAAATCAGCTTTATCTTCAAATTATAGTTTTAAACATAATTGAGAAGAGCTATTCCCATTATAAAGAGAAGCATAAAGCTGATTTTGGTTTAATAGTTCTACCTTTATATTTTGAAGATCAATTATTATTAATTTTTACAAAATTTGAATGAAAGGCTGCTAATTCTATTTTATATTGACAAAATAAGTATTTTCTTTATCACCTCTTATAAATATTGAAGAACAAAATTGATTATCAAATCCTATCTAACATAATCCGCAACCAATGATTAAATTATTATTTCTGTAGCTCAATTCAATACATTAATCCTAATAAAATTTATCTTTAACAAACAAAATAAAACGCTTTACTTGCTTGAATTAGAATTAGTTCCTATAAAATTAAATATATAGCTTTTTGATTGCAGTTTATTACTCAAGAATGATTTCAAAATTCTCAAGAAAGCAACTTTTAAGCTAAACATTATCAAAATTTAATATTATTTCTTCTATGTTAGGAAATACTTTAGTAAATAAATGTTAAAAATCCACACCTCTAAGGTTCTCATTGCTTAATTCTATTTTCAAGTTAGTAACTTATTACTATGGCCCATGAATGAGAGTCTAAATTTATTTTAAAGATTATATGAAATTCATCAAAAACTACTAACTATATTTATTTTCTTTTTGAATAAGCCTTATTTTTTTCACTTTTTAAAACAGTATCAATTTAAAGTAAAATTATATGTAAATTTGTGAATAGTATTTATATCCTCTACTAGACGATTTTTAAAATTAAATAGGTTTTGAGAACGCGAACTAGATTATCCCTATAGAAATTTTTCATTTCACATTTAATAATAGTTAAAATTTAATTTATTCCAAAAATTAATTAAAATTAATAATTTTAATTACTTTAATTCATTAATTTAAGATAAATCATATAAATTAGACTTATTGTAAAAGTAAATTTTGTTCAAATGTTTTATAAAAATAATATTTAAAATGTTATCATACATAAATATTTTATAAAAAATACACTATTTATTTAAAATTCTCGCTTATCATACTAACTGATTTAAAAAATAAAAACTAAATTAAAATAAATATTATAAAAAATAAAATAAATATTTTTTTTAAATAGTTAGTGTTCAGTCATCATTCCATGATGAATATTATGAACCATAAAGAACTCTGTTTTCATAAAATTTTAAAGGCTGTTTTAAAAGCTTCTGCATTTTGTTATTTTAACATGTACAGTATTCTCTTCGAGTATAGCTGCACTAAATGTTATCATGATTATCGATAAATAAATAAGCAAAATGAATTTTTCCTTTTTCTTAATATATTTGTTGAAATAGCTTAGTTTCTTTATAGTTTTTATGGTGATACAAGTATTCATTGTAGTCATAATATCCATTCTCATAATAATTCTTTTTGCATGAAGTGAAATAAAATTATGTTAACCTTTTAAATTTTTAAATGAATTGAATGAGATAACTAGGAATAAATTGCACTCTATAAAGTTTAAGAGTTACTAATCTATGATAATCTTTGTAAATTTTATCAAAACACAAATTTTATAGCATTTATTTTTAAGCAATATTTAATTCATATTAATCCCAACAATATTTGAATTAAACATCTAAATCTCTTAAATTCTATTGGTTATTAAAATGTTTACTGTTTTTTTTTAAGAATTCTAAAAAGCTAGAGATATTTTGTAAATTAAGAGATATATTTTAAAGGCAATGTATTTAGGATATAAATGCATATTCTTAAATTATGTTAGTTTCACTTAAATTCAAAGATACCTTTGTGATGTTTACCTTCATAAAATTAACATAACTTATTAATTCAAAAATATTTATTTTCTTTTCATTAATATTATTTTTCTAGGCAATAAATTTTAGTTTTATATTTTATCTACTGCCTATTTTATGAAGAACATAGAAATATGATTGAATAATTTCAATCACATCTTAAATACTTTCTAAGTCAATTTCAAATTATCTTCTTTCTTTTTCTTCAGATAATTTATGTTTTATCTTTGCTATTAATTATTTTTCATTATTTTCAATTAGATATAAATTAATAATGTAAGCTTTCTAGATATTACTTTATATTTAATTTTACAGAATAAAATCTTTATAAAACTATATTTTAAATTTACTATTTAAATGTATTTTAATTGATTCATTTAAATTATATTTTATTAAACAATTATCTATCTATACTCTTTGTAGTTTATTAATATGTTCTTCTTTTAAACTAAAAATTGTCACATTTTCTTTAATGATAAAACTAAAATTGTGTCTTTATTTAATTTACTATAGAAGAAAGCATGTATTAACACCATTAAACTAAAATTCTTTAAATAAAATATTTATCTCTACCAGTTAGTGCTCAGATATTTTAAATTACAATAAATCAGCTTTATCTTCAAATTATAGTTTTAAACATAATTGAGAAGAGCTATTCCCATTATAAAGAGAAGCATAAAGCTGATTTTGGTTTAATAGTTCTACTTTTATATTATGAAGATCATTTATTATAAATTTTTACAAAATTTGAATGAAAGGCTGCTAATTTTATTTTATAATGATAAAATAAGTATTTTCTTTAATACCTCTAATAAATATTGAAGAACCAAATTGATTATCAAATCCTATATTACATAATCCGCAACCAATGATTAAATTATTATTTCTGTAGCTCAATTCAATACATTAATCCTGATAAAATTTATCTTTAACAAACAAAATAAAACGCTTTACTTGTTTGAATTAGAATGAGTTCCTATAAAATTAAATATATAGCTTTTTGATTGTAGTTTATTACTCAAGAAAGATTTTGAAATTCTCAAGAAAGCAACTTTTAAGCTAAACTTTATCAAACATTAAAATTAGTTCTTCTACATTAGGAAATATTTTAGTAAATAAATACTAAAAATCAACACCTCTAAGGTTCTCATTGCTTATTTCTATTTTTAAGCTAATAACTTTTTACTATGGCTCATGAATGAGAGATTAAATTTATTTTAAAGATTATATGAAATTCATCAAAAACTAACTAATTAACTTTATTTTCTTTCTGAATAAGCCTTATTTTTTTCACTATATTAACCACTATCAATTTAAAGTAAAATTATATGTAAATTTGTGAATGGGATTTATATCCTCTACAAGAAAAACAGATGCTTCTTAAAATTAAATAGATTTTTGGAACGCGAACTCACTTGATTATCCCTATAGAAATTTTTCATTACATAATTAATTATTTTTGATGTTAGTAGTCCCTTGTGGCATAAAACCTCTGCCCTGCCCAAGAGATCATCATCATTTAGATAATTTTAAAAATTAAAGAATAACATAAAATAAATATAATTTTTTAAAAGAGATATAATTAACTAAATGAATATTAATACTAGAGTTGATCAAAATAAAATAAATATATTCTACATTTTTCATTAATATTTTTTCAATCAATTTTCCAAAAAGAAAGATATCCATTAAAAACAATTTTGTTTACAAAAAACGATGAAGTCTTCTTTAAAAGTTTTTACATTTTATTATTTTAACAAGTGCAGAATTCTCTTCTAGTGTAGCTACATTAATTATCATCATGATTATCTATAAGCAAATAAGCAAAATGAGCTTTTCCTTTTAATTCCAATGCCTACTCAAACAACTTAATTTCTTGACAATAACTATAATAATAGTCATAATCGCTTTCATATTAATTACGATTTTTATGATTAACCTTCTTTTTCCAAAAAAAGTATGATATGCTTGTTAATCTTTTAAATTTTTAAAAAATTTCTGAGAAATAATATGGCTATTTTTCTATGTTGTAGATATTTATATTGATTAGTTTTTCATAATATTTGTAAATCTTATCTAATTTAATATCTTTTTTTTAAAATAAATAATCTTTACTTAATTAATGTTCGTACTGATAAATTTTAGGTTATACTTCCAAACTAAACAAATTATGCTATTTCTTAAAAATTAATCTATTTTTTTGTAAGAAAATAAAGAATTCATATATATCTAATATCTTCAGAGACACATTTTAAAGATATTTTAATTAAGAAATAAATGAATATTCCTAAATTAAATTATTTTTCCTTAGATTCAAAGATAATTCTGTAATTTTTACTTCCATAAATTTAATATTACTTATCAGTTCAAAAAAGTTTTTTTACAATTCATCATTTTAACTTTTTATAGTTACTAATTTTAGGTTTATATTTTATTACTTCTCGATATTTTGAAGAGCACAAAAGTAAGATTAAACTATTTCGATAGCATCATAAATATTTTCAAAATCAATCTCAAACCTTTTTCTTTCATTTTTTTCATTCTAATTATATTTAATCTTAATTATTAGTTTTCTTTAGTAATTATCTAATAAATATAAATTAATATCATATGCACTCAAACTATTGCTTAATGCTAAATTTTACAAGACATATTATTTGTAAAACTAAATTTTAAATTTTGTATTTAAATTTATTTTACTTGAATTATTTAAGTCATATTTTTACAAGCATTTTTAAATATATTCTTTGTTAAATATTTCTATGTTCTCTTATTTAAAGCTAAATATACTCACATTTTGATTAATTATAAAACTAAAATTATGCCTTTTTTTTATTTATTAGTTTAGAAAAGATTGATTAAAACCTGAGATCTACAACACTTCGGAAAGTATATTAATCTCTGCTATTTTATGCTCATCTATTTTAAATTACAACAAATCATCTAATTCATCAAAATCTAGTTTTAAAGTTATTATTTACGAATTTCCATTCGAAAGCGAAGCATAAAGTTTATTTTGATGAGATAGTTCTACTTTTATGTCAGAAATATCATTTTCCATATATTTTTATAAAATTTCAATGAAATGCTTCTAATTTTATTTTATATTGATTGAATAAGTATTTTCTTTGAGACATTTAAACCATATTGAAGTATTAAAATCATTTTCAAAACCTATTTGGCAAAATCCGCAAGAAATGGCTAAATTATTATATCTATAGATATAATCAATAGGCTAATCATTATAGAATTTACTTCTTACAAATAATATAAAAGACTATACTTGTTAAATCGAAAATTTATTCCTGTAAAACATTATATAAAGCTATTCTATTTTAATCTGTTTTTAAAGACAGATTTACAATTTTTTCAGAAAATTATTATCTAGTTATGTTTTATCTAATGTTATTATAAGCTCTTTTATATTAGGAAATACTCTATCGAACAAGCATAAAAAATCAATACCTTTAATATTCTCATTTTTTATTTCTATTTTTAACTTATCAATGCTCTCTAATTGTTTATCTTAATTTTATATAATAGTTTAAATTTATTTTAAAGAATCAATGAGCTTCATTTATTTATATGTAATTTTATATGTTTATTTATTTATTAATTATCTGAAAAAGAAAATAAAGATTCAATTAAAAATAATAATTTAAGTTTTAAAATTTATTAATATCATCTATCAGTCAAAAAGACGCTTTTAATTATATTAGAAACTTTAATTGAAATATATAAAAAAAGGGATACTCAGGAAAACAAATAATATAGCTATTCTAGAATAATTATTTCCTAGGGAGATATGTATTTAGTAGAATAATAAATATTATTTTTTAAATTAAAAACTAAAAATTCGTCTAAAATTTCTTTATTTAAATATTCATTAAAATACCCTATCCAAAATTAAAGAGGCATTTAACTCTATGATTTTCATTTATTTATTTTATAATTTAGTTTTGTTTTAAACTTAATGTATAAAAGTAATTTAATAATGATTGTTTATAATATTTTACATATTATTTATTTCATCAACCAATTAAATAGATGTTTTTGATAAAACAATTAATTAATAAATTTAGAGAATTGTTTAAAAAAGTTAGCATAAAATATTTTTTTATATTATTTTTTAAATCTTTGAAGGATAAAAACTTTAATTGCTAATGAATGAAAGAAAATCTAAATAAAGAATGTATTCTTTGAAATAATTATAAAAATCAATTAAAATACCAAAATAGAAAAATAAAATACTAGATTAAATATCAGAATACTAACATAAAATTAAAAATAAATGATATATAAGCAAATTTATTCTTAACTATTTTAATCTGAATATTTTAAATTTAAATTTTACTTGAGATTTTTATCCAAAGTAGTTTTAATAGATAAAGGTAATATTCTATATGTAAAATATATAATAAAAATTTACTTTAATTTAGAACTTTTCTATACGAGTGCTTATTTTAAATGCTTCAAATTTCATGGATATATCCAAAGCCTTTTAATACATAAAAATAGAACTATCTTCAGTCTATATTATTTATTCAAAAAAATTATAGACTTAACAAGAATTAATAGTAACTATTTTCTTATATTAAATACAAAATTTGACTGTAATTTCAATTTTGGAATAAGATTGTTTCATAAGAAAAATTAAGTCTAAACTATAAAATACTGAGTTGAATAAATAATTTAAACAGTTTATAACTTAGTTAAAATATTTTAACCATCAATGCTCATATTTACACTAGGCATATTTATAAAAATGAGTAAATTCTTTTGGCTAAACTGATTTATTTTAATGAAAATTTTTTTTATTTTATTTATAAATTTATAAGTCTTTTAATTAAATCAAAAATAGAACAATTTAATAATTGCTTTCTACTAATTTGTAATTTATTGTAGTCTTTCAAATTTATTTTTTTATATTATAATTTGATTTACTACTTAAGAGCATATTTTTAGCATACAACATTAGTGATTATAAAATATTTGTAAATACGGTTAATGTTTTAATTTTGTAGATAAAAAAATATTTTTTTTTGTCTTAAATAGCAAAAA